GGGGGGGGGGGAGATTCATCAATTGGTTGCCTCCCACCTGCACCCTGACCAAGGCCAGGGATCCAGCCTGCAGCTGAGGTACATGCCCTTGGACGGAATCAAACCCGGGACCCTTCAGTCCACGGGCCAGCGCTCTAACCACTGAGAAACCAGCTAGGGCAAGACTGCACATTTAAAGGGCCTGGTGCTTAGGTTATCTCAGGGTCTGTCCCCCTTGGCACAGTGCACATTTGAGGCTGGGTCATTCTCTGTGGGGCCACCGTGGGCATGGGGTGTTGAGCATCTCTGGCCCCCATTCACTCGATGCCAGGACAACCCCTCCCCAGTCATGACAACCATAGCGGTCCTCAGATACTTAGTCACCCCGAGTGAGAACCACTGAGTTAACTGATTTTCTCCCAAACACTTATTTTCCTGCCTTTTGCTTAAATGAGTCACTGGGGTTCCCCAAACTGGGCCGTTAGTCTGGCAGTAGGCAAATCTCTTCGTGTTGATGCTAAGCTAATACTGGGCATAGCTGTGAGGCGGGTGCTGTTTTGAGCACTTGTGGATGTCAGCCTCATCTCAATCCTCTGGGGTAGCTGCTACTAATCTTCCCATTTTATAGGTGGGGGAACTGAGGCAGATAGAAAACATAATTTCCTCAAAGTCTCCTGGTCAGTAAGTGGTGGACCTGGGTCTCAGAACGAAGGCAGCCGGCCCTGGAGCCCACGAGGGCCTGGCAAGCAAGTTGGGGTTCTTATCTTTCTGTATGTACCCTGACTTGCTGCAGGAGCTTGGCTGACCAGCTTCCCCCTCTGCCCATCGTTGCTCCCTCCCCTCTGCAAAATAGGATGCATTAATTAGCTACTGCCATGTAACAAGTTAACAGTAACTTAGTGGCTTTCAACACATTTTCCCACATTATTTCATAAAGTCAGAGGACTGTTAATTCATCACAGGCAGCATCCAGTCTGCTCTTTTGTGTTCATTCCTAGTCTGATGGATGAGCAATTGCAGGCTTTTTTCTTTTTTTTTTTTTTGAGAGAGAGACATCGATTTGTTGTTCCATTTATTTCTGCATTCATTGGTTGCTTCTTGTGTGTTCCCTGACCAGGATTGAACCCACAACCTTGACATATTGGGACTAACCAACTGAGCTACCCAGCCAGGGCCTGCAGGCTTTTCTTAATAAAAAGAACACTGTTGGTGGCCCTGGGGAAATCCCCTCTATCTTAACGGGTGGGATGGGAAGAGGGAGGATCTTCTCTTTTGCCAAGTGCATGGCCCACAAAGCCTAAAATTTTTACTATCCCATCCTTTGTAGGAAAAGCTTGCCAGCCTCTGCTGGAGACCACTGTACTGTGCTTCCTGTTATATCTTACTGCTTAGACTTAACGATTCCTCCCAGGATTTAAAAGCTGCCACGTGTGTCGCTACAGTAATGGTAAACATCGTGCCACACTTAGGGCTAACGGTGTAGCGCCTCTCCAGCAGTGGCTCACAATGGTGATGCTGAGGGGCAACGGGGTGAACCAGCATGACGTCTGTTCCCAGCTGAGGCACAAAAGTGAGAGGGGGACTTTGGTTCACACCCCACCCCACCCCCACCCCCACTAGAGGGCGGAAATGACTTGTGCTTTCTCATTAGCAAGGGCAGGGCAATGCCGCTTTCTCTTCAGGGCTCTGGGTAGGATGGGCCAGGATTTACAAAGCCTTACTTAAAAAGCAGCCTGGGCCAGGCTGGGTGTGGCTCAGCGGTTGAGTATCGACCTAGGATCTAAGCGATCGGGGTTCGATTCCCGGTCAGGGCACATGCCCAGGTTGCGGGATTGATCCCCAGTCGGGGGCCTGCAAGAGGCAGCCGATCAATGACTCTCTCATCATTGATGTTTCTATCTCTCCCTCTCCTTTCCTCTCTCTGAAATCAATAAAGATATATTTAAAAAATAAAAAGCAACCTGGGGCACCTCCCCTATGTTCTAGCAGCCCCATTCCTGTGTTTGTACCCAAGCTTTGTGGCAAAATTCACAAAAAGACCTGCCCCAAACGTTCATAGACGCTTTATTCGTAACAGCCCCCAGCTTAGCACAACCACAGTGTACACCCAGAAGAGAACTGATAAGCAAACGGGTAGATTCACTCTGCGGAATATTATGCAGCCGGGAATAAAATTTTCCATTTTGTAACCACATGGATGAAACTCAGGCATGATATTGAGTGAAAGAAGCCAGACACAAAAGAATCCACACTTTGGTTCCATTTAAATGAAGCTTCAAGACAGGTGAAACTAAACTATAATGAAAGAAATCTGCACAGTGGTTGCCCAGTGGGTAAAGATGAAGAAGGGGCTGGTGGGGACTTCTCAAGTCTGAAATGACCCACATCTTGGTCTGGGTGTTGGCTCTAGGAAGTGTATGCATATGCAAAAGTCCACTGAGCTGTTCATTTAAGACTTATATACTATAGCACCTATGAATTATACTTCAACACAAATTAAGAAAGTGAAAGTAACATGCAGTGGTGGATGGAGGAAATGAGCCCTATGTTTACTTCCAGTGGGAGTCCAAACAGGGAGTGCCGATTTGGAGAACAATCAGTGGTATTTAGTAAGAGCGAGAATGTACCTTTTCCCCATTGGAGAAGTCCCAGAAGGTCCCCTTTTCGGCAGCTACCCTACAGAAACCCTGTTGAAAGATGCTGTTATCACTTCCATGTTACAAAGGAGGGAGACTGAGGCACAACTCAGAGTGCTGGCCCTTGGCCCCACCTCACAGCTAGTTAGTGTCTAAGTAAGGATTTAAACTCAGCACTCAGATCTCCACCCCGACCCAGCACTGTGTTCATAACCACCACCTTGTAAGGTAGCAATGCCTGTTGTTGGAGAATAGTGGAAGCAACCGGCACGGCCAATGACAGGGGACTTAATAAATTGTGATATAGCCATGCTTAGTGAGACCATAACACACTTAAAAAGAACAAGGTTGGGTTCCATATAGTGGATTACAAAAATGTTAAGAGATGTTAACATCATGGAATAAAACGAAATATTGATGCCACCTATGTCCAGAGTCAGTGAACTACAGCCACTGTCCAGCCCACCACCTGGTTTTATAAATAAAGTTTTACTGGTACACAGCCATACTCATTTATTGACACAGCATCTGTGACTGCTACAAGGACAGCATCAGGTAGTTGTAACATAGATGGTCTGACCAGTATTGCTGATAATAATTATTATCTGGTCCTTTAAAGAAGAAAAGTTTGCTGACTTCTGGCAAATACGAATTATAAAGCCAAACCAGACTGAAGAACACTAAATATTACATTCATGAGCCCGGGCTGGGTGCTCAATTGGTTAGAGCATCATCCCGATATACCAAGGTTTCAGGTTAGATCCCTGGGTCAGAGCACATACAAGAAGCAACCAATGAATGCATAAATAAGTGGAACAACAAATCTATGTTTCTCTCTCTCTCTCCCCCTTCCTCTCTCTCTAAAAATCAATAAATTTTTTTTAAAATCATTAAATATTCATTATTAAAAATAAATAAATAAATAAATATCACATTCATGGATATATATATATATGCAAAACTGAAGTAATGGGCACCCGAGTGGAAGGCCCCCTTCCTGGTGCAGGAGGAAGAGAAGTTGGATGGGAACCTGGACGTCAGCTGGAATGTGGTCTTTCTTTCATTGAAGCAGGGAAGTGGGCAGCCTGGCTACAAGTGGTCAGATTTACCTATCTGGAGCTCAGGGTTTCCCCTGGGAGCTGGCATGCTCCAGCCCTGTTACTTCCTCTGAGCCTCAGTTTTCTCACCTATAAAATGGGCATATTCAAACCTTCCTGGAAAGGTTAAGACATGGATCAGATGTGTTTGGCTTAGGGACAGGAACCAAAAATCAGTGATGGTGGGGCGGGGGCAGAGAGGCAAAGGAAGGTAGGTTCAATGCACTCTCCCCCTCCAGCTCCGGAAGCCCCAAAGGCAGGCACCACTTCTTTCTTCCTGATGTATCCCTGAAGCCTGCCCATGCCTAGCACACAGTAGGTGCTCATTAAAACTTATCTCTCACCAGAGTGAAGCACTGAGTAATGGCCCCCTGGGGGTTTATATCTGTATAACTTTCATTTGCAGCACCCCCACCCCACCCTGCCCATGAACCTCTAGGTGAACTTTGTCCTGAGATCCATGGACATCTGGGGGAACGTGATACTGGAGTTCAGGATGTCCATGAACT